TTCATGCCTCCTGACAATTTTCTTTTGTAGGCATTCCATAAGCCATCTTTGTCACTATACTATCATACATTCTGTACTCCTTCCCATGCATACGTTGATATGTCGTTTCTGAGATCATTGTTTTTTTGTGTGCTGCATTGTTTGGTTTAGAGGATAGTTTCCTCACTTTATATAGCTTCCTCAGCCTCACACTTACACACCAAGACATAGCTTGTGTGCTAGTCTTGTTATCACGCATCGTGCAATATTCCTCTTACTATAACTGGCAGTGTTGGTGCATCAATCACTTTTTCTTTTAAATCACTTCAGAACATCTCTCTCTGACATTGTGCTATTTAGTGCACACTCGAATCTACTTGAATAAGTGAATCTCCCTAAGGATATATACGTGATTATTTTCTTCTTCTTTTTTGAGGTACATGCATAGTTATTTAGGCATGATAAGTCACCGTTCTTATGTTTAATAGCAAGTAAAGGTGATTTTATATAAAACATTTCTCTTCATAGCTTCACCACTGGTCCTCGGGGATTTCCCGATATTAAAACAAAAACCTCTTCATAGCTTCACCACTGGTCCTCAGGGATTTCATAACTATTCCAAAAATGGAAAGTTCGACAAAATTGGTATTTTTTCCATTGCTTTTCATAGTTTTTCTATGGAAACCAGCCTTGGCTATTAGGCTTGAAATACACTTAGGTTATGGTTCGTCTATATTTGTACCAGTCTGGGCTGCTGAACACCTCTTTTATACTTGTTTTACCTTGGCTCTTAAGGCCGCAAGTTTAATCACGTTACTGCCCTTACAAACTCATACCCGTACTGGCTCCCGAATGCCATCTCTATTCATATAGTCCTTTTCTCTACTAGCCTCGTCAAATCATATATGACGCACCATATTAATGAATTCATAAATAATTATGATGCTTACAATTAGTTGAGCACGGTGTGATAAATTGGTAAATCCTACTTAAAAGTTAAAACATAATAGGTGTCAATGGGTCTTTTGTAAAATCATGTTTTTCATAGCCCTTAATAGGATAAGGTTCCTGATATCTCACCTCTAGTACCTTGCTTTAACATTGCCATCGCGTGGCCATCATGGCCATTGGAAGCCTAACATCATTATTTGTTCAAAAACATTTCACCATACGTGCATATCATTCCATCATTCATGAAACTCAGTTCATAAATATATGATTATTCACATTGTTATCCATCATATATGGCGCTTTAGCATATTCATACCCATCAGAGCTTCTGAATATCAGTATTCTTTTCCATTTTCCACACCTGCCCTAGTTACTGAGGAAGTACATATATAAAGTTATAACCACACATAAATGCTGCCACATTATCACCTTAAAGCCTCATATGTGGCTGCCATCATCTAAATAATGTTATATCATTTTCGTTGCATAAAGTGTTTTCATCCATCATCAAAACTTCAACATAAATGTTCTGGAAAGTTTATCGCTACAATTCATCATATAAAGTTCAAACTCACCTGTCGTCACAAGTCGACCCTATAGTTCCTCATTAAATTATACAACAATAACAAACCTAGCGAAATCCCACAAGTGGGATATGGAGAGGGTAGAGTGCACGTAGACCTTACCACTACCTCATGGAGGTAGAGGTTGTTTTAGATCCTTGGCTTAAGTGTAGCAAATTCAAGTGTAGAGAAGAAGAAAACAATGTAGAGCCTCCTATCTAGTCTTTTAATCTCGATGAAGCCCTTAGGGGTTGTAAATCCCACCCCATCAGCTTTTGATTGATGGGCTTTTTGGTGTGAATACAGTTACTATTATAAAAAAAAAAACAATGTAGAAAACGTAGTAACTAACATGGGATGCAAGGCAAAGCCTACAAGAATGGACAAGAACAACAAAATAGTGTGATAATTGAAACACAGTAAACAACTGATGATGCTAGATATCAAAAGCAATAACTACAATAATACGACTAATACAAAGCAAAGTAGTGTGGAACATATATGCAAGGAACCATAACAATAACAACAAGGTGCGATCACCTAAACACATGAATAAATGATATCATATACCAAAAGTCAAAAACTATATTAATAGGCTAATACTACGACCAACACGGTGCTCTATACTACCACCAAGCCAAATACATGAATAGGCTAGTAATAAGACAACTCTTTAGTACGTACTAACCTTCTACCCTTATCCGTGACACCCTCCTATCTAAAGTCATGTCCTCGGCAAGCTGAAAATACTCCAAATCCAGTTTAATCACCTCTCCCCAATACATCTTTGGCTTACCTCTGCCTCTCTTCGACCCCACTATATCCAACTTCTCACACCTCTTCATCACACATTGCCTTTTCACATGTCCAAACAATCTCAATCTCCCTTACCTCATCTTTTTTACCACGAATGTCTCTCCTACTTTGTCCCGGATATCCTCATTCCTAATGCTATTGCACCTATTGTGCCCACACATTCATCTCAACATCTTCATTTCTACTGCTTGCATCTTCTGGACCTGAAAGTTCTTGACTGGCCAACACTTGCCTCATACACAAAATCAGTCTAACCACTACTCTATAATACTTACCTTAAAGTTTTGGTGGTACCTTCTTGTCACACAATACACCGGATGCAAGCCTCCACTTCATCCATGCCGTACCATTACGATGTGTGACATCATTGTCGTTCTCCCCATTTCTTGGGATGAAAGACCACAAATACTTAAATCTTTCTCTCTTAGGGACAAATTGTGTATCAATTATGACTTCCACGCTTGCCTCATGTGTCATATCACTGAACTTACACTCCAAATACTCTGTCTTGATCGTGCACAACCTGAACCTTTTAGACTCCAGATTTTGTCTCCATATCTCCAACCTATCGTTAACTCCCCTGCGAGTCTCTTCGATCAAAACAATGTCATATGCAAATAACATACACCATGACACCTCACCCTAAATATCTCGTGTCAATTCGTCATTAAATTATGAAGTCCTTTTCTCAATCCATATAATCCACATGCTCACATATATGTATCCTTTAAATAAGAAAGACACATTTAGGTAATAACTCAAAATTCAATTGCAAGTAAATTGTGATAATTAAATGGTGCCACTCAAAGAATAAGATTCATTTAAAGCTAATGAGATTTTCCGGGGCACTACAGTCGTTCTACTTGTTTATAGAGTTAAATAATAAAGTATGCTCTAAAATTTCCAAACAAATCATCAACACTGTCTCTTTTTAATTCATCTTGAACTGAAACTTAAAATAAAATATTTCATAAATATCAACGCTGATCCGTTGTTTGTTGATGAGATTAATTTATTGTGATATCAATTATTAGTTAACAATGTTTTCTTTTTGCCAGATTATGTTTACACAAAAAAATATTTTTTAAATGAACAAATACGTCGGAACGTCCTTTCATAAATGTTTCTTCATTTACCAAAACTTATAGCAAGATACAGAGTTTCCAACTTTCAAATATTAGGAACTAATTTAAAGAGCAGAATATATAAATGATTCATGTCATCGACTTGACTAGTTTGATATTGAAGCAGAGTTTACAAAGAATTTAAGAATTTATTTGATATTTAAACCAATTGTTGCTGACAGGCAGACAATAGTTATTCATGATATGATTATAATATTGGGAGCAAAGTAAGGGAGGAAAATATTCATTACTCAATGTGTTTGAGAGAGTTACTGTTTAGATTAAAGTTAAGTGAAAAAGGCAATGTACACCTTTCTTAAGCTTAGAGTTGTATAGTTGGTGTTCCAGTTTCCTCAAGAGGTTTAAGTAATTGATGCTTAATATTTATCAAGAAAATAGTCTTTGTCTGAACCGCTCTAGTTTCATGTTGATTTCTTTCAATGGAAATTTCTACAAAGAGTGAAAAGTTTAACATCTATGTGACCAATATGATGATGAAAAGAGAGTGCAAGAGGTTGTTTTGCTACCAGTAGAAGGTGATAGTTTTGTTGTTTATTGACTTATATCTTATGAATAAAAGTAAAAGAAGAATTAGAGACAAAATATTACCTCCATTTATCAAGCAACGTCCAAAGAAAGCTTGTTGTTTGATCTTTGGTTGGCTGCATCTAATACAAAGGCCATATTTGATCAATTCCTCCGTTGGATTTTCAGTTACTTTAAGAACTTTAAGCTTCTGTTGCATCACACATGATGATGACAAGAAAGTGCAAGAGGTTGTTTTGCCACCAGTCAAAGGTGATAGTTTTGTTGTTTGTCAACGTCTTTCTTATGAATAAAAGTGAAAGAAAAATTAGAGACAAAATATTACCTCAATTAATCAAGTAATGTCCAAAGAAAGCTTGTTGTTTGATCTTTGGTTGGCTGCATCTAATACAAAGGCCATATTTGATTGATTTGTCTATTGGATTTTCAGTTACTTTAAGAACTTTAAGCTTCTGTTGCATCACATATGATGATGTCAAGAAAGTGCAAGAGGTAGTTTTGCCACCAGTCGAAGGTGCTAGTTTTGTTGTTTGTCGACGTCTTTCTTATGAATAAAAGTGAAAGAAGAATTAGAGACAAAATATTACCTCAACTTATCAAGTAATGTCCAAAGAAAGCTTGTTGTTTGATCTTTGGTTGGCTGCATCTAATACAAAGGCCATATTTGATCGATTCGTCTATTGGATTTTCAGTTACTTTAAGAACTTTAAGCTTCTATTGCATCACAAGTAGCCCAAATACTTGTTCCTTCAGATTCTTTTTGATGAATCGAAGTTTCAAAATGTGGAGAAAAGTACACTAGGATGTCTTAAACTTTGTTCAATGTTTTGATGCGTTAGTGAGCATTTCTTGCTCTTTTGATGACTGCTTAGTCTTTTCCATTTTGACTTGTTTCTCAGGTTTCTTAGTCTTTTTGATATATGATTTGGGAGTTGGGGGCTTCATTTGCTTGGAGCTTGTTTAGTATGCTGGAATTAAATTATGCGCCTTTTCTTAATACTCTTTGTGCTTGCTTCTACAGAACATCCATGGCTTCAAAGTGGAGAAGCATCAGACAAGCCAATAGATAGTGCAGTGCTGTCCAGAATGAAGCAGTTCAGGGCAATGAACAAGCTCAAGAAACTAGCACTGAAGGTAGAATCTAACATTGTAGCTATTATTTCTACATGACAAGTGGTTATTGTCTATAGGTTGTCATTACATAGAATGTCTCATTGACATTCATCATTGTTTCTTCCGTTTTCCCTGAAGGTTGTCAAATTTCAACCCCCTGACATTTTATTAATTGGTATCCCAGGTCATTGCAGAAAATTTATCTGAAGAAGAAATTAAAGGTTTGAAAGCTATGTTTGCTAACATGGATACAGACAATAGTGGGACAATCACTTACGAAGAACTAAAATCGGGATTAGCCCGCCTTGGATCAAAGCTTTCAGAGGCTGAAGTTAAGCAACTTATGGAAGCTGTAAGTATGATTCATTTGACTGAATTTATCTATTTATTGGTCTTCCTGTAAGATTTCTTAGTCCTATATATCCTGTTTATGGTTCTATATTTCAGGCTGATGTGGATGGAAATGGAACGATTGACTACATTGAGTTTGTTACTGCAACAATGCATAGACATCGGCTTGAAAGGGATGACGATCTATTCAAAGCTTTTCAGTATTTTGACACAGACCATAGTGGGTAAGTCCACAAAAGTGATCATAATTTTAGTGTTTCAAGCTTTTAGCTAAGTGTAGCTTATACTAAAGCTTGCCAATATGGATCAGCTAGGATAACTTTGGTTGGAGGCTAATGAAAATTAGATTTTAGCCTTGTTTTTATTGAGTGTTTTCATTATGATGAATTGATGGAGACGTTTCCCTACATATGGTTCTTGGGTGTCATCTACATATTACTGACCTCTGACTCGATATTTGACCCTGACCTGAGACCCGACCCAGAGTTGGGTCCCGAAGCCCAACCCTAACCCGAGACTCGGCATCCGAATGTTGCTATGAATTATCCAAATAGACGTCGTGTGGATGCTACGCTTGCTTCAGATAAGACCCGAGATGGTGAAGGGAGTGAAGTTGCTGCCCTAGTGAATCCTTTTATAATTGGTGGGTATGATGACATTTTTGAATGCTACAGGTGATGTCATAATCCTCATTCTTTACTTATCCATATTGAAATGAAGATTGGGGACAAGAGTATAGTGACCATGATTGTTACTGGAGCCATGCACACCTTTGTTTCTGCCAAACTTGTGCATAAGTATGGGTTGACTGTGAGTATTGTTTGTCATACATCAAGACCGTGAATGCCCAAGTCCAAGCCATTGTGGGTATGTCTTATAATATTCTTAGTTCTATTTGAAATTGGAATGGGAAGGCTAATTGATGGTGATCCCATTAGAGGACTTTAAGGTGATCCTTGAGATTGATTCGTGTGGAAAAATTGGTTTGTTCCAATGCCTCAGTTTGATGGTTTAATGACTATGCATGAAATGGCACCTAGTTTTAATTAATGTTAACAATCCATATGGGGAAGAGAAAAAGAGAGAGAAAGGTACTATCATTTCTTCCATGACTATTGAAAAAGGTTGGGAAAGGGTAGGTAAGACTTCCCTTGCTGCCTTGGTCGAGAATCGAGATTAAACATGATGTCATAGTTGAAGTGCGGGGGTGTGTTGCGCAAGTGTTAAGTGAATTTGCCGATGTGATGCCGCCTAAATTGCCTAAGAACTTGCCACCGCGGAGGGCAACTGATCACAAGATAGAGTTGTTGTATGGTTCAATGCCCCCTGCACAACCACCTTATTGCATTGCTCCAAAAGAGTTGGCTGAACTGCGGAAATTGAACAATTTACTGGATACTGGAATTATTCATCCATCAAAAGCTCCAAAAAAAAAAAAACAGGATGGGACGGTTCAGATCTACGGGTAGTACGATAATCAACCAAGGTACCCGCCACAACAATCGAGCCTGGAAGGTCGTTTGACCTTGTGCCTCCTTAGTTCATTCCGCACCATGCCTGCATCCTAGAAATAAAGTTGTGCAATTTATCCTCATCCGACATGTTCTGAATGTACAACATCAAAGAAGAAAATTCCTTGATATAGTCGCGAACTAAACCCACTGCCTTAGGCGTTTCAAACTATCCCTAGCAATCCATTATGCATTGCAAGAATTAGTCTCTCATCTCCTTATGCATCTTTACCCAAGTATCTATTTTGGGTCTACCAACACTTTCATCATCTGCATTCCGAGTTCTCCAACACAATTTCGCATCACCAGTAAGATACATGGTGGTGATTTGACATAATAAATATATATGCCCTTTAACTTGGCTTCAGTTGACACCTATGCCCTCCAACTTTGAGTGTGCACAAATAGGTACTTAAACTTGTGTAAAATTGAACAAATAGACACATTCGTCCTACATGGCAATTTTGTGTCCTATGTGGCGTGTATTATGTCATGTAGGATGTGTGTGTCTATTTGTTCAATTTTATACAAGTTTAACTGTTTAAGTGTCTACTTGTGCACACTCAATGTTGCAAGGCATAGAAGCCAGGTGAAACCAAGTTAAAGGGTTTATTTATGTATTATGCCGTGGTGATTTTATTTGTCATTTTCAGGAACCCCAGCAGTAGAAATATTGTTCCATATCTCACAAGAAGTTTTCCAATTCTTTAGCACTACGCGCTCCCAAATGCTTTAGGTTGTGGGATCTTAACCTTTGAACATTCATTACTTCCACGGCCAGTAGTAGCCATAGCCCTTCGAAGAACGACAAGTTCAAGGTTAAGATTTTCGTTCTCTTTCTTAAAATTTTCAATCTGAACATCAACAGCCTCACAGGATTGTTGAACATCCCTCGTTTGTCCAGAAACAGTCTCATGAAACCGTTCTAGATCTCCCCTCAAACGATGGATTTGGGTTACTATGTCCACCATATCCACGCATCATCAGTCACACCAACGAGTGTCTCCAACTTTGACAATCGTTCGCGTAGTTCTGAATTTGGGCTTCCTTCCAACATAGACCAAAGCACGAACTCTCGCTTTGATACCAGTTGTTACAGGGTCAATTTTTTGCAATCACCAGTGCACGACAGTCAGTCATACACAACAACTCATCCTTACACTTCTCTCTTTTGTTAGCTGGGACTTAGGATTATTTTCAGAACTTAGTAAACAAAGCACACACAGAATTATAGGTATAATCACCCCACCTTTTATCACTCTCTTAGAATATACGAAGGATTTCGAGTTGCACGACTTACAACATAATCTGCCTTACCCAATAACAACACATACGGGTCTGCCAGTGGTAGTTAGAAGGGCCAGAGGTGTGCCTGGCACATGCCGAGACTGCACAAAACAAGTAAAACACTAGGACATGATCTGAAACTATGCCCCATGAACAGATAGCCTTCAGCCTCTTAGCACAACGGTCAAATGTGCCTTGCACACAGCACAACTGCTTTGTCCACCAGGAACAAGTACCAGGTAACTTTGTCCACCAAGGCTTAGACAGATGAAAAGAAATCACCTAGTGTTTTTGTCTCGTTGGGATCTGAACCTGAGAGCTCTTGGTTCTCAACCCACTTTATTAACCACTAGGACACACCCTTAGATGCACATCTTCAACACATGTTGATGACAATGCTACACCCTTACCAATAGACCTTGCCTCATACACGTTTGGCACACAAGCGCCTGTCCTTGCCTTTGCATATGCCCAAACTCATGGCTGCCTTGCCATCTCCAAGGCACCTTTCATCTTGCCTAAGTGTCATCTGGTACACTTTAGACACACAATGCCTAAGGTCGGTTTTTCTAGTACTAAATAGGGTCAAGTTAGATGATATGCTTCATGAGTAACAAGTTAATCCTGCTTAAGAAATCCTTAATCTACGGATTTGGTAGGATCTGTCTCAGGCATTATGTTTTAACAGATCACTCCCCTTGGAAGTTCACCTCTTTATTTTTGTTAATGTGATTCAGCTTCATAACAAAAGACGAACTGGAAAGTGCTATGAAGGAGTATGGTATGGGCGATGAGGACACCATCAGGGAAATTATAGTAGAGGTGGACACAGACCATGTAAGTACTTTCTGATGCAATGTTTTAACATTTGTAACTCTGTTATGATACTAGATTTTATCTATACTCTTTCACTTAAACAGGACGACAGGATCAATTATGAGGAGTTTTGTGCGATGATGAGGAGCGGAACACAGCCCCAAGATAAACTTTTTTAGTTCCTTGAAACAGTAACCTTGCAAGCAGAGCTGTTCAGCAGCCAGCACGATGTAGAGAGCTGGGCTGCGAGAAGAGAAGATTCAGAAAAAGCGGAAGAGGTATTCTTGATGTACTTGTTATACCTGGTATCTCCAATCTATTTTTATTTGCTTTGACTACATTGGAAAGCAGTTGGAATACAGGAAGCATTTTGGTGTACATCGAATTTAAAGCGGAATAGCTAGTAAAATTCATATATTTATAATTTATATTCATTCCGCCCCAAAAAGAATGCAGTATTACTTTTTTGAGAAATCAGACTGTTTTCTTTGATTATGATTTTTCAACTAAATTTAATATTTTTAACAAAAAGAAAGTTTGATTTATAGTACTTAAGAAATCAATATCTGAATATACAATGAGAGTTAAATTTGCCGATCTTGAACACTGTATCGTGCTTTCATTTTTTTATCATAGAGGGACTGGTTTCTTTGTCATGCACAGTTCTAATTTATTTGATATTCAAAGGAAACACATTTAACCTTATTATTTTGATTATAATAAAAATAAAGAACCTCATATCTTTTATGCTTCTGAAGCTGCTCAAGGTCCTGGAAATTTAAAATGAACATGTGAAGGAGATGAAAAGTGTATGTCGACCAACAAACTTAATTAATGTAAGTAGATTAGCTTAGTTATTCAACTTCTGTATAGTTGACTAGTTTGCATTCAGCATACCATTCTATTTCTGTTGTCAACCATGGAATGGGTGCTTTTCATAGCCACTATACCAAATAACCAGTTATTTTGTAAACTGCTTCTGTTAAGCCTTTTACTGAACCTAAAACTACTGATGTTCACAGAAGCAACAACTCCTGAACGCCCAAAAGGAGAAAGTAAAAAGTACTTTTGCTAGCTTTACCTTATTCTTTTCCTCATTGCATCAACCCTCGGTAAGTTGAAATGAGAAGAAATAATATCAGCATGCATTTTCATTCTAAACCTTTTTCGACTTCTGTTTGAGAAATGATTATCCATTTTAAGATCAAAACTTCTAAGGTGGTCAAAAGATTAAAGGGGATGCTCAGGTGATCAAAGAGTTAAGAGTAACAGCTCATAAAAGCATAGATTGAAGCCTTTTGTGTCAGCTCAAGATATAGACGGATGGGTTGATGACCTTTCTGAATATTTGGTGTTCTGGTCTTATGACATTATCAACCTATAAATGACTTATGAGTGTATTGGTGCATATTTGTATGCCTCTTGAACTTAGAACTTGCTCAATAGATACATATTTTGTGCCCTTATAATGTCATCTCTCAATTCTTGGAAGGAAAATTCCAGATTGCGATGAATTCATAGTGCACAAGTTCCATTACATTCCATGAACGAGATGTCCTTTTATCTAGCACCTCTAATGGTGTCTTTGCCTCTTAATTGTATTGATTAAGTATTGATAATGTCAGATGATTTCAACTTGCCTATCTCCTCTACTGCATTAGTCCTCTACTTGTAATAGCAGTCAAGGTCATAATCTAACAATTGAGGAAATGGGAATGGAGGGTCATAATCCAATATAAAGTTGATGGAATCTGCTTTGTATCTTTATGATAAAGAGAGAGAGAACAAACACATTTTTATATCATGGCCCATCTCCAACATAAAACTTACAGCCTAAAAAGTAGCAGCTGTTGAGAAACTTACAAAAGCAACTGGGAATGTAATGAACATGGTTACTACTACTTCCATAAACTATCTTAAACTCATCATACTTGCATTTAAAACAAACACCAACTGGGAAACACCACCTTATTTCTATATTATCCATGTCCTCTCCTCACATACAGAATGGAAACGGAGGGTACAAGTAGTAGCAAAGCAAGTTCCTAGTGCTTGTTGGCAAGATAACACTGCTTTCTGATCTCACCCTTTGTGCCGGTGAGAAGGTTGTTCTCAGAGAGAACAGTGATGGCTCTTGCAAATTCCTTGAAGAAGTAGTCTTGGCTCTTTGCCATTTTTTTTACATAGAGTCTGGTCCTTTTATCTACAGCTAGTTGTTGGTCCACCAACATCAATCCCTTGTTGTCCAATATGTACCTGCAGTAGTTGTTGTCTAGCTTCAGGGGTGTGCCTCTGTCATTTCTCACATACTGCATGGCCTTTGTGTCGGGATTGAATATGGGCATTTCTTTAGAATGTGGGGTATGTGTTCAGGGTTGAGTTGAGGGTCCACTTCGGGATATAAACGCTGAACCAACTTAATACACTGTGGGAAGAACACACTGAGAACCTGCAAGAGAGATGAGAGATAATTAACTTAGATCTTTTTTTCTCTCGTCTCCTAATAATACGGAGTAGGGTTTTGCATGTTCAAGCCATGAAGAAAAACATCTATCAGAAATGCAAGATAAGGCTGCATATAATCAGTGTGGTTTGGCTCTTCCCATGACCTCATGCATAGAGTTTAGTGCACCAAACTGTCCTTATCCTTTTTTGCTAATAATTGATCCAAGAAATTCAAGGTATTGTGGGATGTGTATAGTGTATACCTAGCAAGGCAACAGCTCCAGGAGTGTTAATTCCAATATTGGCAAATCTCTCAAGCACAACACTAATGCTTTCATTGTGGCTTGGGAGGTGTTGCCCAAGAATATCTGCTCTGCTCCTGCCATCCCTCCTTCCAGTTTTGAGTGGGATGTAAGGCCCTCCTAACTGTGCACAACACCATTAATAAGATCGCATTCATGTGAACCCACTAACTCAAGATCTTGAATTCGCCTCTGATATTGACAGTAGGTAACACTATGAAAAAAAAAAATAACAATATTAAGTTACAGCAACAATGCCATCTCTACCAAACAAGACGATAATATCAGTACAGGAAACAACATCATGGCATTCCCTTTCTACAGCTTCCTTAATTGTGTCAATGTAATATGTATCTGAAGTTTCTCATGCCAAAGCTCCTGTCTGTCTCCTTCTCAGACAGCATCTCCCTGGTTGAGTCCAGCAGCAATGAAGCATCACATGACTGCACCCACAAAACAATAAAAAATGCCACCATCTTAAACTTAAAATGTTCATCAAAATGGAGAAAAGAGTGTGAGAGAGATTGTTTGTACCTCAACAAAGCAGTCATGGAAGACATTCCGTAGCCAAGAAAATGCATTGTTCTGTTGTTGTTGTAGAGAAGGTTGACTTGCTCTTTGATAATATCTTCAGCTTGTGGGCATGTGCGTTTGTAATAGTCCATAACAAGGCCAGGATTATCATCCTCCTTCTCCTCTGCAAATGCAGAGAGAGCTGAAAATAAGAGCACACCAAAGAAGAGAGCTTTGGAAGTCATTGTTTTTACCATTGCACTCAGCTGTGAGAGATAAAGATCCTTGATCCCCAACTACTACTTAAATAAGCATAAAAACTGAAGGACACTGCCAAAAAAAAGAGTAGACCTTTTCTTTCCCTTTCTTCTCAGTGCTCGTTTGAACATGATTCCAAATCATAATTTAAAATTAGTGATCTGAAATTATGTTGATTTGAACTTGAAATTTTGTTTGAACATGAAATTTGAACAGTTTTTTTTTATATAAAATTTAAATTTAGAAAACAATCAAATTTGTCATCGAATTTTCAGAATGCCTCAATCACGTCTTTTGTTAATAGTTGGAGTTATGAATGCCATGGCATGACACATTTGGTTCATTTGTGCTAACAAAGCCCTACTAGTACCAGATTATGTCATGTGGTATTATCTAAATCCTTCATTACTAATCAACCCCAACCCCTCTCACCCCTTTTTTTACAAGTGACATATGTGAGTCATTTCATAAGTTCAGTAATATATTTTAGCTATTTCTTAATATCTTGCAACATAATTTTGCCATAGCCAACAACAATACATATATAAGAAATTACCAATGGACAGTTTGATCGGTTACTTTTAAAAAATTATACCATCTCAAGGGTATTTTATAATGTATAATCAAAATTGGATTTTTCTTAAAGTCATCTCAATCGTATCAGTTTCTCTTTGGTATCGGTACGGTTTGGTTAATGTTCGGGTTTTTTACTTTTAAAGTTTCACCTCAAAATACACCATTATTAAAGCATTTCTTTCGCAAGTAATTCTTGAAGAAGCACTTCAATTCTTCACCAAGAAGCCAAGAATGTAAAACCTTATTCCTATTGTTTGATCTTGCGCTTTTAATAGGAGCGTTTGCATAGATTTTTCCGTATTGTTTGATGGAGTATCTATTATAGTATCTTTTAATTATAAACCTAATTAATTAAAAGCTAACTAAAAAGCAAAGCCCCACCAACATGGGTTGTGGTGCAATGGTGAAACTGCTTCACCCTAAACCAGAGGTCTTAGATTTGAGCCCTGGGTATGGAGAAAATCTTGTTGGGAGTGCCACCCTCGAATGGGCCCCTACAATGCACGATCCGAATTTAGTCGGAGCTCCAATGTAGGCTCTGGACACTGGGTGGGAAACCCAAAAAAAAAAATAGGCGAAAGGGCAAAACATCTTGAGTATATTATGTAATATAACCATAGTTTCGATTATTTTTAATCTGTGGCTACAGTTTCACAAAAAATTGTTGTTTGGTTTCTAAATTGTATAAATCTAGGATTTGAATAATTCGGTCCCTGATTGTATAAATTCAAAATTTGTATAGTTCGGTTCTTGATTGTATAAATCCAGAATTTGTATATGCTTACCCTAGCTATTTGTATATGATTTATGAAAAATTCATAATATATTACCATGTTTGTATATTGGCAAGTGAAATATACAAATGCAGTTCTGAAAAATTCCTAAATATATAAATACAAAATTTGTATATACTTAGTCGTTTATATATTCGCAAGCAAAATACACAAACGGGCAAGCAAAATATACAAATCACCTCCATTTTTATATACTCATCCCGTTTGTATATTTGCAAGCGAAATATACAAGCGGGCAAGCGAAATATACAAATTGCAGCCTCCATAACAAACAAAACTATAACTATGGAGTGCAATTACCAAAAATATAGATATAAAGCCTTATTATGTCTATTATCTTAGTTGTTTGTGAAACTTTCTTTAAAAAAACAAAAAAAAAAAAAAGAGAAGCAAAGGCCCAAAGTCATCCAGTCGCCTAGGACCTAGTTTATATTTATACAAGTAGTATGAATTGGCAATTAAACAACATATATTAAGTGATTTTTTTTAAAGTAATTACTAACTATATTGATAAAAATGTTGTCCAAGTATGAATTGCATATAATTTTTCAACCCTAGCCGTTTAATTGTATATAATTTTTTTCTTATTCATTTACAT